TTATTATTATTATTATTATTATTATTTATAGTAATGATACATCGGCTGTTTTGTTTTTATAAATAAATAGATGATATATTACTTATTTTTATTTAGAATCTAGTCACTATTTTCATAGCTAAAAAATTAGAATTTTTTTAAAAAAATTATATTTCAATATATTTTTATTTTGAAAACACTTAAAAATCACCATAAAAACCACTTATCAAACCCCTAAACATCAAAATAATTAAAAAAAATCATTTGAATCTTAAAAATTATAATCAAACTTAATATGTTGTTCTTATCATGTTTAGATAAAAAAATAACTATCATTATCAAATCAATCTCGTATAATATAACTTTTTGATACCAAAATTAACTATTTTGATTGTCAAAATCACAACCGATAACTCTTTTTTTTTTTTTGTAGTAATTTTTTTATCTTTTCTCTCAAATTTAAAGATTAAAAAATAAACAAAATAAATTTTTGAATCAAAATAAAAATAGTCACAAATTTAGAATGAGCCATGTATTTTTTGTATATTTTACATTTGAGTTCTCTATTCTTTAATTTGATATTTTGATCATAATTTAGAATCTAATTTCATCTTATTAGGCTATAAAGGGATTCAATTCAATGAAAAAGGTTTGAAAATGAAAAAAATAAAGTTAAGTGTTTTATTATTCATATAAATAATGAAAAACTTGGGAAAACCCCTTAAATATTTTAGTTTTTTAGTTAACTAGAACTTTGGTTGAGCTTGGTATTTATTGTTTAAGAAAAATTGTCATAGAGGATATTGAAAACTAAGAAAAATTATCACATAGAATATTGAAAATAATGGCACATTTTATATCTTGTTTTTATTATAATATTACAGCTATTTGACATATGCTCTTTTGGCGAATATAATTAAATTGTTTTTTAACACAACAAAATGTGTTGTTGTTGTTAACACATTTTCTAGTATAGAAAAAATTAAAATATAAAATTAAAATTTGATGCATTAATTTAGTAAAATAAATTTAAAATTATGTTTTTCAATAAATATTAAAAAAAAAATTTAATGCTAATTAAAGACCAAGTTAGTAGATTGAGAGATAGATACATATTAATACATTTGATCTCATGTTGCAGAGAGTCCTTCAATTTTTTTTTGTTTAATTATATGAAAATACTTTTTTATTTTAAGAAAAGTAAAAATTTACATTCCATTAAAACCAAATAATTTGCTGGTATAATTTCTTATTTTTTATTAATATTTAATAACAAAAAAACAAAAACAACTTTTATGTTTTATGTTCTCCATTTCATAAAAATCAAAACAATTAGAACAGGTATAAGAAAAAAAAACATAAATCAAATTTGAAAATTTAAAACAGAAATTAAAAAAAAAGTTATCTTTCTAATTAAAGCCCCTTTATCCCAAAGCATGCTCAGCTATTTTAAATATTTTTTGACTATTTTATTTATTTATTGATAATATTTTGATATAATCATAAAAAAAAAGTTTTAATAACAAAATAATATTATGATAATTTAGAGGTGAATGTATTAAAAAAAAAACATAATACAATGATTGAGGTGTTGAGAGGAACTTTTTACACATATTATTAACCTCAACTTGGCTTGGCTGGTCAACATAGACTCCCAGCCTAACCTTTTGTTTTGCCCATGATTCAAATTAAATTATGTAAGAGTTAATATGATATACTTGATTGATCTAACTGATCTAAACATGATATAGTTGACCAGGTTAAAATATAATTTAACTTTAAAGAGATTTCACAATGGGTTATCATTATTTTTTTTAATAAAAAATATTAAAATAGTTTTTTGGATCAATCCGTTAACCTATAAAATATATAACTGAGTAATGAATTCAATTAGGTTTAACAATTTTGTTTTTTGAAATTTACTTTTTATTCATTTATATAATAATAAAAATAGAGATGTATAGTAACCAACCAAATAAAATTTAAGGAAAAAACCATCACAAAAGCCAATTAAAAAAAGAATGCTTCAAATATTAAAAAAAGTTGCAATCTAATTTGAAAATAAAGAAATAACTGAATATTATCTAATAAAATTACATCTCATATATATTAATTTTATTTTAATGAATCTTAACAAAGATTGAAAGAAAAAAAACATAAAGGTAAAAAAAACCTATATATTTAGGCCTAAATGAGCCATTACACCTAATGATTCAAAAAAAGGCCGAATACGTGCTTGTTTGCTTGGCCACATGTTTTTATCTTTTCAATGGGAAGAATCAATGCTTTTAAAGATAATAGATATACGTAGTCTACTAGAGTTGAGTCCTCTTTGAATTCAAAATACTTTTTTTCCGCCTCAAAACATTAAAGAGACATATCTAACCTTAAAATAACTTTTAATTGGTAAAAAAACAAAAATAACAAAAATTAAAAAAATCCAAGCCCTAATCTATTTTTTTGGTAAGTTAAAAAATATCTAATATAATTTTACTTGTCAAACAGAATCTATTAACACTAAAACTAACTTTTTTAATTGTCAAAATATAGATAACCAACAATTTTTTTTTTTTGTTTTTAGTGATTCTTTCTTCTTATAAAAACTAAGAACTAAAATATAAAACAAATAAAATTAAGAATTGAAACATCAAAATTTCAATAAAAAGAGATTAAAAAAATGGAAAAACCTTTGGGACAAATTTTAAATTTGTGCCTCATTAATTGTAAAAATAAAGAAAAAATCCCTTCCCTTTTTTAGTGTTAAACTTGGTTCCCAAAGTTTTAATTTATTTTAAAAGATAAAATTAAATTCTATTTTATCGAATCTAGTATTAACTTAATGTCAATTTTTTTTTTTTTACATTGTGAGAACTCTATTGTAAGTTAATTGAAACAAGTTTTTAGGTTTAATTTTTAGTCAATACCACGTGAATAAACATTTTTTTTTAAAAAAAGTTTTGTGATTGAAATAAAAAATACTTTAAGAATAAAAAAATTATTGTGTAAATCCATGGTATACTATGTCTTCTTCAGTATTACCCTAATCAGATTTTTATTTTTTGTAATAGTCATGTTATGATTTATATCAAAAGTATTATTGAGGTGAAATAAATCAAAAGTATCATTGAGGTGAAAATTATATAGTTCTAAAACCCAACTTCAACATTAACTTAATTTAATTTTAGATTGTATTTTCATTGAGTTAATTCAAGTAAATTCATATATATATATATGTGAGGGATAATTGTTGTTAAAATATTGTTGTTGTTTTAACTTTTGGGATAGAACAATTAATTATTTTCAGTAAAAAGTCAATCTCATCCCTTTAATTCATTTTTGATTAATTTCCTCGATAATTGAGATGTGGAGTCGAAATGGAAAAGTCGATAATTATTTTCCAAATGTATCAATTACCTCACAAGGAAGAAGATT